ACAGCAGCGATGACAATGATGACAGAGTCGACCCCGATCTCCATGGCAGCCTGGAACCCCGCTTCTCGCCCCCTTTTATCCTCCAGCGTGGCACATGCCACCACTCCTGCCCATGCAGGTTCCTGAATACTCAATCGTTCCCCTCTTTGTTTCCTGGCCTGGTGTGGTTACTAGTCGTATATACTGTCTCTGTTGTTACCACTCGTCTCCTATAATGTCTCCACACCTGAAGTTAACCATTCGTGGTCGCTAGTCCACGCACTGTCTCTACTTTTGGATGCGTGACGAAACGTTTTCCCTGCATTACCTGTAATATCTCTTCAAGTCATCTCTTGTGTTCTAGAATTAAAGCGCTAAGATTTTATATTATATTTTATCACAATCTTTACTTGTTTTAAGTGTTAGATTTTAATCCAATATAATCGTTGCTCCATGCACTTATTTTATCAAACCTGTAAAAAGTATTTCGAGTTATCCCGTATACGGCTTTGCAGTGGTACTAGAAATTAACTTTGTCATAAACGTTGCATTTTAATATCCACATTCCAGCAGCAATTTAAATAATGTATTGCTCTTTCCTATTACACTGACGCCTCACGACGTTCGCTTGAATCTACGGAGTTGTCCTCACAGGAAGTCACAGATTCCACGGAGGGTGAAGGTCACAAGATAACAGAGCCCACGCGTGGTACCTGCACGTCCTTGCGAGCGGCCTTCATCCGTCCCACGGACGCCTCCGCCTTCTTCCTTTTCTCCTCCACCACTCGCGTCTCCTCTCCGACTCCACTCTGCAAGAGACAAAGTCACCATAAGAGACTCCACTCCCTGAGCGGCCCCCTCTCAGCCACGCTCCATAGGGAGCACTCCACAGTGATGGCTCTATAATTGTCCACCAAAAGAGTGCTCAGTTTGTCATGCTGGACTGACTTAGCATTCTGTAAGCAAGTAGGCAAGGCGCAGTGATGAGAATAACAACTTCCTGGTATTTTTGATTGAATGAGATGTAGACGTTGCGAATTTGTCAGCTCCACTCCTGGTTTTGTAAAGGCCACATCAGGGGACAGGGACATGATCGTTCAACACAACAGCTCTTCACTTCATGAGCAACATCCAAATATGACCTTCCTCCAGCACGCCTCACCCAAAATGCGTCGAACCACCCTCCGCCTCTTCTTGGTTCTTTCGGTAAAGTCACGTAGAAGGGAAGTAATAAAATAATAAAAAATAATAAAATAATTCTCACGACGTTTCGGCCACAACACAAGCAGCCGTCCTCAGGTGAAGACCAGGTCTGTCGAGGCGACAGCGTCTATATGAAACACCACCACGCTTGGAGCGTCTATTTAAGCTGGGTCGGAAGGGGGGGGGGAAAATGCGCCTTGACAAAAGAATATGCATATCAAGAGGAATTTAGCATATTTATGGGAAATGCAGGAATGCGACCAGTGCTACTTGTGAAATGCGCAGGAGGTGGGCGGGGGGGTTTTCAAAGTCATATTATGCCCATGCATTATGCAGGACCAGCAGCATCAAAAGGAGGGGTAGCATTAACAAAGGGAAGGAATGTTAATAGTATGTAGCTGCAGTAACTAAACAACCACGTTAAAAGCTAAAGTATAAACTACATAGTATCATCAGTATGCTAAATATACTCTCAATAAGCTGAGCTACTAACCGTAAGTAATACATTACAATTCTCGGTCGCAAAAAATATAATATGCTTCCAGCTAAACTTTTTAAACTTTTTCCTTACATCACAGGGGACTATCCCGTACTATATGCTGCCATAGACAAACCCAACATTAAATTGTATACTGTATTACTATACACTATCCTATGTCTTAGAATAATACATAGTGCAATATTACACTATGTATTATTCTACCCACCCAACTGTATACCACACTGCTGTATATTCACTATACAATGACGATACTATATATTACCTTATACACTGCATTAAACATTACACTTTACATACTATTTATTATTATTATTATATAATATGCCATACACTACACCATTGACCGTCGTGTGAAAGGCACTAAGAGGAAGCAACGAAATATGTCAATGGGAGAGTGGTGGTAGGAAGCCTGCAGCGGAGCAAAGAATCCATTCCCTGCGGAAAAAACAAGATATATAGTCAATGTCAGTGAGTGGAACGCGGTCTGAAAGTCACCGTAAACGTGGACACAATCAGTTAAGATCCGAAATGGTTTATTACGTCCTTCCAATGATTGCTAAGCCGGAATCCATCTTCTCGGTTGAAATTGTCTCTGTGTTTGTATATGTGGATCGCCTCATGAACAAATCTCTCATGGTAGCCAGATGGCTTGCAGAGAACCTCTGTCTTGGAGAAGTCAATGTCATGTGAACCCACTGAATTGTAACAGTGATCTGCCATGGCTGAGGTGTTTGTCCTACCGTGTTTCAAGTCCGCTTTGAGTTCACGGATGCGGTCCGAGACATGTCGTTTGGTTTCTCCAATGTAACTGCTACCACAGAGGAAACTTAGTTTGTAGATGCCAGGGTACTGTATGTCTGGAACCACATCTTTTACAGACGGGACCAGATCATGGATTTTATGTACTGTGTTGAATCGGACCTGGATCTTGTGTTTAATCAGGATTTTGGAGATCTTTGTTCTGACCCCAGCAATGTAGGGTAAGGTGATGGTCTTGAGAGGCTCCTCAACAGGATCCTTCTTGATGGTTGGAGTGATGGCTTTGCGGATTGTGTAGTCGGAGTAACCAATAGCCTTAAGAGCTTGGCGTACGTGTTTGAGTTCACTGGCAATGTGTTCCTGGTCGGAAATGCATTGGGCTCTATGGTATAGAGTCTTGATGAGGGAATTCTTCTGGGATGGATGGTGGTGGGAATCCGGTTTTAGGTAAGCATCCGTATGGGTGGCTTTCCTGTAGACAGAGTGGCTCATTGAACCATCAGGTCTCCTTTTAATTAGGACATCCAAAAAGGGTAGCTTGCCATCTTTTTCGACTTCCATGGTGAATCTGATGGCTGGGTGTATGGAATTGATGTGGTCGAGAAATTGGTCTAGTGGGTTCACATGATATTGACTTCTCCAAGACAGAGGTTCTCTGCAAGCCATCTGGCTACCATGAGAGATTCGTTCATGAGGCGATCCACAAATACAAACACAGAGACAATTTCAACCGAGAAGATGGATTCCAGCTTAGCAATCATTGGAAGGACGTAATAAACCATTTCGGATCTTAACTGATTGTGTCCACGTTTACGGTGACTTTCAGACCGCGTTCCACTCACTGACATTGACTATATATCTTGCATTCTCCGCGGGGAATGGATTCTTTGCTCCGCTGCAGGCTTCCATTCACCACTCTCCCATTGACATATTTCGTTGCTTCCTCTTAGTATCTTTCACGCGACGGTCAATGGTGTAGTGTATGGCATATTAAATAATAATAGTATTAAAGTGTAATGTTTAATGCAGTGTATAAGGTAATATATAGTATCGTAATTGTATAGTGAATATACAGCAGTGTGGTATCAAGTTGGGTGGGTAGAATAGTGTAATATTGCACTATGTATTATTCTAAGACATAGGGTAGTGTATAGTAATACAGTATACAATTTAATGTTGTGTTTGTCTATGGCAGCATATAGTACGGGATAGACACGTGTGATGTAAGGAAAAAGTTTAGCTTGAAGCATATAATTTTTGCGACCTAGAATTGTAATGTATTACTTACGGTTAGTAGCTCAGCTTATTAAGAGTATATTTAGCATACTGATGATACTATGTAGTTTATACTTTAGCTTTTTACGTGGTTGTTTAGTTACTGCAGCTACATACTATTAACATTCCTTCCCTTTGTTAATGCTACCCCTCCCTTTGATGCTGCTGGTCCTGCGTAATGCATGGTCATAATATGACTTTGAAAACCCCCCGCCCACCTCCTGCGCATTTCACAAGTAGAACTGGTCGCATTCCTGCATTTCCCATAAATATGCTAAATTCCTCTTGATATGCAAATTATTTTGTCAAGGCGCATTTTTCCCCCCCTTCCGGCCCAGCTTAAATAGACGCTCCAAGCGTAGTGGTGTTTCATTTAGACGCTGTCGCCTCGACAGACCTGGTCTTCACCTGAGGACGGCTGCTTGTGTTGTGGCCGAAACGTCGTGAGAATTATTTTATCATGTTTTATTTTATTATTTTATTACTTCCCTTCTACGTGACTTTACCGAAAGAACCAAGAAGATGAATCTCTGCAGTCACGAAAGCTTTAAATCGAAATTTAAATTCACCCTCCTCCTCCTTACACTCAAACTCTCGTCCCTTCCTTTCCCTGCCAAAACCGAATGGCTACCTTGAACTGAAGCGATCCCATTCTCACACACTGAGGTGCTCACCTTCCGCGTATCATGCTCATCCTCCAGTGTGTCGACATCATGCCCTCTATGTTCTCCGGTAATGGTACAGGCCATGCACACCAGGCTCGCGTCCTGCTTGCAGTAGAATTTGAGCTCCTCTTTGTGCTTCTTGCATCTTCTTTCCTCCAGGCTGACAATGGGAGCTACCAGGACGTGGTCCTTCAACTTGGGGTTATTGATGTGAGGCTTCAGGTGGGACTCACACAGGGACATTTCACACCTCAGGCAGGTCTTCACTGCAGGAGTCTCCCCATCACCACAGGTGTCACAGAAGACAACTGCAGCCATCTTCTCTGCAACTCTGAGCTGCTCCACCAGGTTGGCGAGTGCCACGTTCCTCTTCAGCTGGGGCCGCTCAGGGAAGGCCGCTCGGCACTGCGGGCAGCTGAAGCTGCTCGCTGTCTCCCAGGTACCATCCAGACACCGGAGGCAGAACGAGTGTCCGCAGCTCAGCGTGGAGGGGCAGTCAAACGTGCCCAGACAGATGGGGCAGCTCAGCTCACTGTCGACACAATCACTGGGAGACGCGCTCGCCATGGCCCATGGCTTCACTCGGACTCAGTCGCTCGCCGCGGCTTACGGAGGAGCTATCGCAGCAGCTGCTCACACAGCGGAGACGAACAAGGAAATGAACGGACTTCATCTGCAGTTAAGTTATAAATACCTCGAGACACGCCCTGGAATGTTCCACACGGCGGCTGGGCTCACCTGTATAGACGTGGCGGTACAGTCACGCACTGTGTAATAGCTAAAACTGATTTTTGTGTTTAGTTTGTTGTCCTTCCCCTGGACTTCCGATTAGCACGGTTTTCTACGTACGGTGTGCAAGAAGTTCAACATACATACATAGCTTTGACCGGTCTCAAGTGATATACTATTTGTACAAACAAAACCCAGCAGCAGCAACCCGAGACACAGCGATAATGATTTATCCCACAAGATGATTGACCGGGTAGGGTCAGGCTGTGTGTATTGCACAATGGAACCGCACCTTGTGGAAACATTCTGATGTAAAGGTTAACTTGTTTTTTTCCATCTGTGTCTTTATCCATTTTTTTCTTGCAAGGCCTGTTTGTTTAAGCTTTGCAGTCTGTAATCGTCTAACATCTTTATCAGCTAATATTTTAACAACTGGCTTTGTGCGTCCCCTGTTCATGTGTCAAATATGTTTTTGTTTTTTATTCCTACGACACCATTTTATTCTGGGTGGATGGTGGTTGTATGTATGTTGAACTTCTTTCACACCATACGTAGTCAACCTTGCTAATTGGAGGTATGCGAGTGGGTGGGTGGCGGTGTTTGAGTGAGTAAGTGGGGGGGTTATTTGGTGAGAGGGGAGACAGATGGGCAGGAGGATGGCGTGAGGGTGGGCGAGCAGGTGGTGAGAGAGGGCTGGGAGGGAGGGTGGCTGGGAGGGCGTGCGGTTGAGTGGTTGGGTCCCTCGGTGAGTGGCCTCATGCATTACCACAGCGAACAGCCCCTGGTTAAACAAACAACGTGGTTCATTTAAGCTCATTATCTACATGACTTTCACCGTCAATTTTCCTATTATGCGTAAAAAATCGAGGATTTAAATCTTAATAACCTAAAAAAATATATATTCATCACCTATTGTTAATGTGAATATTTTACATCCTGGAATCGCTGAGTTTAGACGATTCTATAAAAAACTATTTTATTTGACCAGGTAAGGCCCACTGAGGTTTATAGCTCTTTTCAGAAGCGATCTGGCCACAATTGATAACTCACAGACGTGGCTTATTACGTGGACATTTTTCGCAGTCAAACACTCTAAACGCATGTTTCTAAGTGTGGAGGGAAAAATTGGAGAACCCGAAGACAAATTTACGCGACTATGGGGAGAGAGACACGCAAACTCCAAGTGCATGTACAGGCGTCAGGGTCGGGATCGAACCGACGACCTCCTGTATACCGGGCGAGGTAGTTAACATCTCGTAGCCACTGCGGCGAGATGTAAAAAAAAAAATCACAGCAGAACAACGAACAAGGAAACGAGCTGACTTAACCTGCAGTAAAAATATAAACACCACGAGACGCGCCCTGGAATGTTGCACGCGGCAGCCTGTACTCACCTGTGTAGACGTGGCGTTACATTCACACACACAGTGTCAGGGTTAAAGAGTCGCAATTTATATATTGAACATAAACCCCACGGTAACCATGAAAACAGTGATGGTTTGTCCTATAGACTGGTTACACTCGCTTGGGTGAGGCTGTGTTTTTCCACTAAACCTCACCGTGTAAATTTGTATTAAAGATTAAAAATTATAAGTAGGCTATTGCGACAAATATTATCCATAAAACGTGTTTTTGGATTAGATCGCGTAAATATGAAAGTCTTGGTTCTTTCGGTAAAGCCATGCATTATGCAGGATTAGCAGCATCAAAGGGAGGGGGTAGGGGCAGCACCAATAAAGGGAAGGAATGTTAATAGTATGTAGCTGCAGCAACCAAACAACCACCGTACTCTGAATGGCGGAACTCGACGACTCCAGGAAGTGGCCCCGAAGCTTGCCATAACGTAAGGGACCTGTGGTGATTTACAGCCAACGTCAGTTGAGCGTGGACAATAAGACCCAAGCCGAAACATAACATGTAAAAAATTATGTTTAAAAATACTTTTTTTATAGAGTATAGTATTGTCATCAGTATGACGTAAGTATACCAAGTTTGCAGTCGATATCACATTGGGAAGTGGGTTAAAATTGAGTTAAAAGATTTGAGGATATGACAACAACATACAGTCGGTTCAATAAAAGCGTGTAATAATAATAAAAACATTCCCGCTAGGGTGAGACTGTGCGTTTTTCCCAGCAAACCACACAGCTGTCAGTTCGTATTCAAGGTTTAACAAAAAAAGATTCCCCTAAACCAAGGGGTTCAGAAACCAAAACAACAAGGAGAGACATTTATTCTTATTTTTTACAATTCGGTAAGTTATTATTTCAAGAGCCGCAATGCAACGTGGTGTGAGTACGAGAGACGGTGGTGGTGGTCCTTGATAAATAAAAACGTGGTGTGGGTACGAGAGACGGTGGTGGTCCTTGATAAATAAGAACGTGGTGTGAGTACGAGACACGGTGCTGGTGGTGGTCCTTGGTAAATAAGAACGTGGTGTGAGTACGTGAGACCGTGGTGGTGTTGGTCCGTGATAAATAAAAACGTCTCACTAAGCAGCCGTCCCTCAAAGAGACGCACGCCGCTACATAGCTGCAGGTTGCCGACCCCGTGCCCTGAACCAACTGGCGTCAGCGTCAAGTAATAATAATTTCATTAGTATAATGTTATTATAATAATTAAATTTTTACTTAATTGGAAACGGATAACATTATAATGATTTAGCTATTTGTATGTATTATTAACGAAATTATAATTAAATAACTGTGAAATACTGACACCTAAACAATAATTAAATAACAATAAATACTCGTGCTATAACACTCTGACGCTAATGCAATATTATTTTATAATTAAATAATACATTTCTACTGAGTACATAATCATTCAGTAATGATAATATTATAATTAACATGTACAAAGCGCCATTAAACAATCGCTCTCGGGGTGCTATGCATGGTAAGTCAGAAAATAGTGAACATCACTTAAGGAAAGAAGTGAGAAGGATATTTGAACATCACTAAAGGGAGAAAGCCATTATAAACAAAGACGGCTTTAGTGGAGATGTGAAGATAGCAGTGTCTCGGATGTCCCCTTGACCTCGAAGGGCAACGAGTTCCAGAGTTTAGGTGCCGCGATTGCCAACTCACCTCCACGTGTGTAGCCTGGAGACAGTAGGACGGTGAGCAAAGCACAAGCTGAACATCTTGACGATCTTGATGGAATATTTGTGGCTGAAGGAGATCATCAATGTAGGAAGGAGCAAGTCCATTTAAGGCGAAGGCGAGTTGGTTGGAACTGCCTTTTTCTCGTTTGTGTCATTGCCTCTTCCTTCTGCGAGGATCTGTTAACGCTTTGCAGTTTTTCTTGGTCTCATTATCTCCATTAGAATATCTGCGAAACGGGTTTATTCCTGGGGGAGATATTCTTCCTGGTTAATGGCGGCTGGTGAGTATGGTGTGTGGATGGTGAGTAGTGTGTGGATGTTGAGTGGTGAGTAGTGTGTGGATGTTGAGTGGTGAGTAGTGTGTGTGCTTATGAGATGGTGAGTAGTGTGTGTGGATGGTGAGTGGTGAGTAGTGTGTGTGGATGGTGAGTGGTGAGTAATGTGTGTGTATGGTGAGTGGTTAGTAATGTGTGTATGGTGAGTGGTGAGTACTGAGTAGTGTGTGCGCATATGAGATGGTGAGTAATGTTTGTGGATATCTGCTGGTTTGTCGTGTGTAGATGGTGAGTGGTGAGTATTTGTATCAGTGCTCGCAGACAGACGAGAAACAAGGATGTAAAATTACATTACACGGGGTTACCAACCTCACGAGGTACCCCCATGGAATGTGCTCAGATGTTTAAAGAATATAAAAACAAGCCCCGCATCACACAAACCTGTCTAGATGTACCTGGAGATTCGCGCCGTTGGCTTTAACCAGTGCCAACAATGGACTTTGTAAGAACATGATCACAATCGTGAGAGAGGGCTTGAGGAAGGGTGGCTGGGAGGGCGTGCGGTTTAGTGGTTGGGTCACTGGTTGGGTGGCCTCACGCATTACCACAGCGAACAGCCCCTGGCTAAACAAACATCGTGGTTCATTTAAGCTTATTAACTATATGACTTTAACCGTCCATTTTCCTATTATGCGTAACACAAATTAAAGGATTTAAATCTTCATAACCTAAACAATATATATTCATCACCTATTGTTAATGTTAAGATTTTACATCCTGGAATCGCTGAGTTTGGACGATTTTATAAAACCTATTTTTATTGTACCAGGTAAGGCCGACTGAGGTATATAGCTCTTTTCAGAAGCGACCTGGCCACAATTGATAGCTCAACAACGTGGCTCATTACGTGGATATTTTTCGCAGTCAAACACTCTTAGTGCATGTTTCTAAGTGTGGAGGGAAACATTGGAGAACCCGGAGACAAATTCACGCGACTACGGGGAGAGAGACAAGCAAACTCCAAGTACATATACAGGCGTCAGGGTTCGGATCGACCCCACGACCTCCTGTATACCAGGCGAGGTAGTTAACATATTCCAGCCACCGCAGCGAGATGTAAAAAAATCACAGAGCAGCGACAACGAACAAGGAAACGAGCTGACTTATTAACCTGCAGTAAAAATATATAGACACCACGAGACGCGCCCTGGAATGTTGCACGCGGCAGCCCGTACTCACCTGTGTAGACGTGGCGTCACATTCACACACACAGTGTCAAGGTTAAAGAGTCGCAATTTAAATATTTTTACAAAAACCCCACGGTAACCATGAAAACTGTAATGGTTTGTCCTATAGACTGGTTACACCCGCTTGGCTGAGGCTGTTTCCCACTGTAAACCGTACCGTGTAAATTTTTATTTAAGCTTTAAAATTATAAGTAGGCTTTCGCGACCAATATTATTCATTAAACATGTTTTTGGGTGAGATCGCATAAATATAAAAGTGTCGTTAAACTCGT